GGAATATGTCTACCCATTGGAATAATGGACGGTGGAGGAGCTCACGCGTCGATATTGGTGTCTTCATCAGACTCGTCAACTAATTGAAGGGGTCGTAGGGCCTAAGAGTTCGTCGAGTGCTAGGGTCAGATGAAGAAGAATGAGGGACATATCGAGAAGTGGTCGAGGAAGATGAGAGGTGGTCATATCCTAACTAGCAGAACTTGCGTAGGAGTCAGTTGTCGCACGGGAATCTAGAAAAGAAGAAAAACAACAAGAGGAGGGAAACTTGCTAAGGAAGATGAACTATTGGGAATTGGAAGATAAATGGAAGATCACGGAAGACCAAAAAACACAAGGAAAAAATTAAAATGGTGAAATAGAGATCCAGAAAACTTACTGACATAAGACATCTTTGAGGTGCCAAAAAACAGTGGATTGTGGTGGTCGATGACAGATTTGCGGCGAAAGCAAGTGAGTATTGTCTGAAAAAACTCGAAAGCTTAAGAAATTTGTGCAAAAAAGCAAAGTGAAGAAAGAAGGCGGAGTAAAGCATTTATGAAAGAATAAAGAAAGAAAGGTGAAGAGGTGGGTTGACCGTAGCCGTCTGATCAGATCGAAACAGATGATCCAGAATGACATATATGAAGGTGAAAAGGTGGCCGAGTATAGCCTTTGATCAAATCAGGAATAAGCGAGCGAGATGAAAGCAGACGGGCAAAAAGACAGGTTAAAACGAATTGTTTGATCCGAAGTGACACAAACGGACAGGATTACATGTACAATTAATAGGTACACTACACAAGGCAGACACGAATTGAGAGTGGTTCACGTCAATTAGATGGGTGTCAAGGTGACGTGTTAATTCATCAGCAATTCAAATTCTGAATTTTGAACTATGGAGAAGGGTAATAGGTCGAAAATAATGGAAGTAGCCAAACAAGGTAGGAATATGAAGGTTGACATTGCATGATAAAAGCTCCAAACATGGGATTAAAAATATCTGCACTTAGATCGAGTTAAGATAACTCGACCAAAGTAGCGGGGACCAGATGATATAGGATACCATACCAGGTCGAGTAGACCAGGAAATAATATGACTGAACATGATGAACCAGCAGGTCGAAAAGAGATCAAAGGCATTACAGGTCGAAGAGGCCTCGAGTTGAGGGGGTGTCGTTGATCCAAGGAACATCGATAGGTCGAACTAGGGCCCTCGAGTGGCCTGGTTGAAACTCAACCTAAAGATACAGATGATCGAAGGATCGACCAGATGAGCAGAGCATACGAGCTCGACACCATTGGTACTTTACCTTAAAGTAATGGGGGTTGGTCGCACCATTAGACCGTCTGATAAGAAAGACTAAAGAATAAGAAGGAATATTATTACGATAAGAGCCCCACCTGGATAGGTCCATGTGGCTTAATAGAAATGGACAGTTCGGGCAGCCCACTCGGACACTCATTGGCAACAATGTATCATCTCCCTATATAAGGGAGTGATGTATGTTTATTGTTACATTACATTCTCTATATTCTCTACATACATATAGCACATCTTCTTCTTCATTGTGCTAACTTAAGCATCGGAGGCTCTTCACCAAGAAACCCCTCCGGTGTGAGAGTTTTTGCAGGTCTCAAGGACGTTCTACCAGCGAGGATCTCAGATCAGGCTGATTTTCAGCCGGTCGAGGGTCTTTTGTGCACCAAAACACAAACCACTAGATCAATTTACTTTCATATCCGTCTAACAGGAGATCAAAATCAATGTAACCCAAATAAAACAATTCGTCCGCCTAGTAAACTATCATATAATCTTTAGTCCTTCTCAAGTACTTGACTATATGATTCGCCAAGGACCATTTCCCCTTTCTTGGTTTACTTTGATATCTGCCAACCATGTCTACGACATAACAGATATCTGACCTCGTAAACATTATCACATACATGAGGAAAATGGGCAATTTAAGATGACGTGTGTTGAAGGAACAAGAGCAAAATTAAATTCATAATTATCATGTTAAAAAAAAATTATATATGCCTAATATCAAGTGTAGTACTAAAGAAAAAATAGTTTTTTCAAACACTTTACAAAACATATATTTTTGTCATGTCACCATTCGAAGCATTAGGTCTCTAATGAATTTGACATGTTTTGAATTAATATATAAGGGGGTTATATTAATAATAACTAGTATTCCATCCTGTGCATGTGCACAGATGCTTAAATTATCATAAGCTATATGTACGTAAATAATATTGAAATTATAAGTTAGATAATAGTATCCTAATTTAAAACTTTTGTAATTAGTAAAAATGAACATTATAAAAGTATTCAACTTCATCACGATATTAATCGCATAAAACAAAATGGATAAAGTAATTTTCATAAATTTGAGAGATCCCAACCTATTAATTATCTGAAAAAGTATTATTATTATTATTATTATTATTATTATTATTATTATTATTATTATTATTTATGAAATTTTAAGACATTTTGTATACCACTAAAGTCAATTAAAATTATTCTGATAATTAATATTTTTAAGGTCAACATTCCTTAAAAGTCATATTATCCTGATTGTCGTCAATTAAAATTATTTAGATTTGATTAGTGTACAAATTATGTAATTAGTGTAAAAAAATAATTAATGCTGGTTAATAACTGTTTTTGGCGGGGAACTGCCACGTAAATATAATTAAATAGGTTTTATTTAATGTTTAGCCAGCTATTATATATAGATGCAAATAATTTTTTATATGTTATATATGTGTATGTAATAGTTAGATAATGATCATATCACAATTTAATTCAATTTTAAAAATGAACGATATAAATATAAACTATTTAACCCTTTGAGCATATCACTATGTGTAATTTAGATAATGAGCACATCACTAATCTATAGATTTGCATTTTGTGTGTAAAAATATTATTGTATAATTCTTTTACACATTTTTATAACATAAAAGAAAAATCCGAAAGTGAAAAAACTGTTGGGATCGTACAATCGAGCATTATCCTGTTGGGATATTTTTAGTAGCTTTCGTTTTTGTTTGTGTAGTTGCGAGTTTGTTATTCTAGCGTTGCTAGCAGGCTCTAGGCAATCTTCTGATCTGCCTCCCAGTCTTTTCAGTCTTTGGTCGTACTACTCAGATTTTGGCTGCTTTCTCTTCGCACTTTGTGCGGTTTTTTATTAATATAATATCTCTATCGTTTTGGAAAATAAAAAATATAATTGAAGTCGAGTATCAATTAAATTTGCTAATATACGATTTCAAATTAAGAATTAAAAATAAAATAAAATAAAATATACTTAAGTGTGTGAGAAAACACAAATGACCAAAATTATGTAAGAATATTAGAAATTACATTACATATAAAAGTTGAATAATATTGATTGTAACATTTAGATAAAAGTGGAATAAAGTGAAGGAAACCACAATATTAATGATAGATTTTTGAAACGCCTTTTGGAGGAAAAACAAAAAAAATTTTATTAATTGCTTTGCTAGGAATTATAGATATAGATAATAAAATAATAATAATATATATAAACGTTGGGAATTTTTTACAGTAAACCTTTTTAAATTAAATCTAATATACTTTACATATCGAGTCTTATGAGGAGGAGCTCATTGGTTTTGACAGCCAAAATGATCACAGAAGTCTATGGTCCTTGCATACAACCTTTGTCTCCCCCGAATAGTCGTAGCCTATAAAAAACACAGGACATCCAGTCATTTCAAGGACACAACTGCTACCACTAAACCCCATAATCCATGGTCCAACATCATTGGATGTCGCATCATACTATCTCCAACCGTCCGTACAAGTCTATCCAACGATTATTATTGCGCCTCGCAACCTGAAATACTGCCTACTATTTCCAACCGTACAAGTCTACCCATGGCCATGTCTACTCCTACGCTATCTCAGAACAAATAAGAGATCAATATAGTTTTAGCAAATAAATGTCTTTAATTGATAATATTATTTTTAATCTGGGTTCACTCAAACTTTTTGAAAAATAAAATATGTATGTGAATTATTTTATAAAATATTTTGCTGAAAACCTTGAAAAAAATTTCAACTTAAATAATATACTTAGACATTTTAAACAAATATTAATCAATTATATATAATAAAATAAAATATAATGTAAAAAACAATGAATAACATTTCTAATTAATTATTCTATTTAATAAAGAACGTATTGTAAGACTGGTAAACTATTTGGGAACTGGTGTAGATTATTATTATTATTATTATTATTATTATTATTATTATTATTATTATTATTATTATAGGTACTTGGAGAATAAGTTAGGAATTAAATATTTTTATAAGAGATCTTGTCTTGTTGGACAAGTTAGGAATAAGGTTTAGTAGTCTTATTAAAGGACTCCCTATCTATTATTTTAGGTGATTGATTTTGAATAAAAATATGAATTGATTGTGAGTTTTATCGAGAGAGTATCTCGTTTATCTTTCTCACTTGTACGTTTTCCCTACATCAGTTGGTATTAGAAGTCAACATGATTCACGATGTTATCGCGATGACAAGATGCTGCAAACGACAGGCGTGTCGTCGCCATCTACAACTTGAGCCGCCGGACCGAGTGGTTTGGTCGCCAGCTCGAGACAATGGGTCGTGAGATTGCAGATCTGTCCGTGGAGATCGGGGACATATGCATAACTATCCGTACCATGGTTCGTGACAAGTAAACGTACCGTGACGCCGGCAATCGGGGCGTGCGCGAGGGAATTCACGGAGGAAGTGGAGGCCGTGGCCCAAGCGAGGCGGCCCACCGAAGATCTCCACAACCACCGTCCGGCGACGAAGACGGCAAGGAGACAGTCTCGGAGGTGAATCCCTTTGATGATTTTTCACCCCCGCACGTCGAGGCTGACCCTTCATTGCATACGGCGGCCGTGACATTCCGCGATGGGAATCGATCTTCGTGGACGACGACGATCAACGCTACGACAGAGGTTTGGGGACTTGATCGCGATTATGGTCGATGGAAGGGCCCGTTTCGTGTTGACATCCTCTGGGTTCGACAGAGAGCAAGTTGACGGGTCATTGTACGATGGTCCGCCTGTGTTTGATGAAGGACTCGAGGAGGTGGAGGAGCGTCTTACTCATAGTTTTTAAACCCGGCCCGGTGATCGACCCGGGCAGGTCCTCGGGTCACCGGGTCACCGGTTCAACCGTCGGATCACCGGGTCAATTGCTGAACCGGATAATTAATTTAAAAATTTTTAAAATTATATATAGAGTATTTTTGTTATATAAATATACATAAAAGTAACAAATTATATGTTTTGTGTATAAAATTTGTATATTAAAGTGTTAATAATATGTATTTCATGATAAATATTTACCATATAAACATATATACATATTTTTATTTTAAAAAATAAAAAAAAATAAAAAAAATATAAAAAATATATATGGACCGGGTCAACCGGGTTGACCTGGCCGGGTCAATGCCCCGGGTCGGCCGGGTTTCTGTCGGGTCGGCCGAGTTTTGACAGGGTTTGACCGGGTCCTTGATTGCTCGATCCAAATACTCCACCCGGACCGGTTTCGGCTCCGGGTCGACCCGCCGGGCCGGTCCGGGTCTCAAAACACTGGTCTTACTGGCGAAGTGGACGGTCTCTACGACGGTCCGCCGATCTTAGATGAGGAGCCTTCGAGGCTGAAGGATGAAACTGGAACTGCTGCTATTAAAACCGTTGAAGAAGACACGCGGTTATATATGTTGCAGCAGTTTCATGAAGGGAAGTGTGAGGTTGCCATTGTTGATGATGGTGCACTTTCCAAATCGATTCTCGGAAACCGAAAATGTTATTTATTGGATTGTGGTTCCAAAGTATTTGTTTTGGTTGGTTGGGTAACTCAAGTGGAGGAGAGGAAAAGTGTCATTCGCGCAGCCGAGGATTTTGTGGCTCGCCAAGGTAGATCACAGTGCCGTTCAACCTTCGTGTTCGACCGGGGAAAACGACGGAGATTTTGTAACTCAAGTAGGAATACTATGGTTCGACACCACACGCCGGCCACGGGTGCGCAGGCGAAGCTTTCCGAATCGGGGGAGAATGGTGTAGATTATTATTATTATTATTATTATTATTATTATTATTATAGGTATCTTGGAGAATAAGTTAGGAATTAAATATTATTATAAGAGATTTTGTCTTGTTGGACAAGTTAGGAATAGAGTTTAGAAGTCTTATTTAAAGGACTTCATATCTATTGTTTTACGTGGTTGATTTTGAATAAAAATATGAATTGATATATTGTTTTGGTGTTCTTGATATTGTGATCTCATTAATATTGTCTCATTCGTAGGCTTCCCTACATCAGGAACTCCGTGGCAAGTGCGTGATTAACACGGTTTGATCGTTTAGCATGTCACACAATTGTGACCTGGAACAACTTATTGTAATCTGAATTTTTTGGTTATTGTCGTGGGCCTCATGGCTAGTGTTGTACTCAGATGGTACGAGTCCAATTTGAATATTTTGAGTGCATGTTTGATTTTGTTCATATTTAAATATATTTGATTAACTCAAGTATAGTTTATTTAAAATTACTCGAACTCAAAAATTAAAAAATACAAAAATAAAAATTAATTTGGCAATTTGTAATTTTAGATTTAAAATACTACTCGTACAACACTCTTGATTACACATATGCTAGTTAAACAATTTAAACTGATTTAAAAAAATAAATAAAAAAAATGTCAAATACTTTTTGAAAAGTTGTATTATTTATTTATACTTAAAATGAAACTTTTCACCTGTACAATTTTACCGTCTTATGTTATAATAATTTTTCTAATTAATATGTAATGAATTTATATATAGTTTTTCATTGATATATAATTTTATTAATTTTTAGTTAGTACTAATAAATTATTTAATTTTGTAATAAATAATATATTATTTATGTATTTTCTTTATATGTACAATATGTATATCAAACCAAAGTTTGTATAAGTATGAATAATTTGATATTATCTATGAAAAACTGATGACGAATACAAAATTTATTAACTTTTAAATATATTTATAATTTAAGTTACTCGAGTGTTTTATAATTTTAAAAATCCTAATATACAGAATCGATATCAATAAAAAGCACTCTGAAACACTGTATGACACATGGGAGTACAAAACACCAACATGCAATGAAGTTATAGATAATTTTTTATTGATATATAATTTTGTTAAGAAAAACTTATACTGAAATTCTTAAAAAAAATATAAGTGATAAATTTATGTTACTTAAATTTAAATTATTTTTAAACGTTTCAATATTTATATTAAAAATACAACATGTCACTTGGACAATTTGTCGATCGTATATTATAATATTTTTTCTAATTCGTATGTAATTAATTTTTAGATAAATTTTTAACTGATATATGATTTCATCTATATATATATATATATATATATATATAATAAGAATTAACATTTACCATAAATAGTAGTAAGGAAAAGTCAATCCACATTTATTATATACTATTTTCAACAATTTTTTTATTTTACATTTTAATTTTAATTCATTATTAAAAAATTGAATGGTTCCTAAATTAAGGGGTTTTAGATACACTTATCATGTTTCAAAAATTATAAATCATTTAAAATCAGATGGTTCCTAAAGTAATGGTTACAAACTTTTCAAAGTTGTAATCTTTATGGCATCTTTTCTTTTTGACTTTTAATAATAAAATCATTTTAAATATATATATTTCTAATCCAAAAATTCAATCATGTTAATATATATATATATATTGAATGCTAAAAATATTTTTTAAATTGCATACCCAATCAATTAATCTTGAATTTTTGTTAAATTACTATGTGTATTATTTATTAATATGCATAAAATAAAAATAAATAATTCATCTTTAGATATATAATTTATAATGTTAATATACTATCATTTGGTGCAGACATATGCATAAAATGTTTTAAACTACTATGTGTATTTTTTATTAATATGCATAAAATAAAAATAAATAATTCATCTTTAGATATATAATTTATAATCTTAATATACTATCATTTGGTGCAGACATATGAATCATAAAATTTTTTAATTTCATAAAATTAAATATTATATTTAAAGAAAATAAAGAAATTACTTTGTATCAATCGGGTGATTGAATTAGGGTACTGCTCACGTTGATTGAATTACTTTTAAGTGATACTAAAATAGTCAAAAAACTTGACACAACTTGGTTGGTCCCAGGTTTCCTCCAACATTTTCAAAAGCCAACACGCTACTCACATTATTTATCTCCTTATTATTAGTATTATTATTATTATTTCTCTCTTCTTTTCTTTGGGAAACCTTTGGATGTTTTATCAGAATCCATTCGGCTCTTTTTGTTTTGTTTTGTTTTGTTTTCATATCACCAACATAAATCACATATATATATACAAAACCAACACAAATCACCTCCAACTATTCACTTACAACTCCACTATATCATCATCACGGGGTTATCAGTAAACAAAAATTCAATCAGGCTCAAAGGGGGTGACTAGTGAATATTATTTCCACAAAAATAAAAAGGGAATGAAAATACAAAGGACGCCTCAATCATTTTCACATCACACAAATTCAATTGCTTCATTTCAAAACAGACTCAAAGCAAGTTCTGATCAACAGGAATCCGATCATTATCTCTTCAGAAACAACCAAGGCTCAAACCTCACATAAGGTAAATAAATGTCCAACAAAACGACACATCAAGTTTCATCAAGGCATACTAGTCACGATCATCATCACATCTCCTCAACATCATCAACAATCATCAACAAATCTTAAAATTCACCATAATCCATACTCACAAGACACACAAAACTGACTCAAGATAAGACACTCAAACAAGAACAAAAGATGAAAAACACCCTAAAACACCTAGACTTGGTCAACCATATAGACACATAATCATGTAAAAACTCCCCCACACTTAAAACCGAACAATGTCCTCATTATCGATCATCAGTGTTAGGAAAGCTTACCCCACATAATCAACCAACACTCAAAACAGAAAAACTAAACCAAATACCAAAAAGACATAAAATAAAAAGAAGGGAAAAGTACAAACGTACAGGGCACAGTGACTAGGACAGTCACTGTGAATCCGGTGGTGCAGGTGGAGGGTGGAGGTAATCAGGCCCCGGACAGCGGTGGGCCCCTGTCAACTCAAATCTCTCGTCCCATCCGGATTGGGGCAGCTCTTTGAAATTCGGCTGGGGAGGGGTAGTGTGGCGGTCGGTACAGGCTCGGCCTTGCAATGACATCTTAGCATGCTCTCGCATGCACGCTTTCTCAGTAAGCTGCTCAATTGCTCTAAGGTACGCGCACTCTTCCACGAACTTCACTTTCGGCTCAGGCCGAGGCTCTCGGACGAAGATGAGGGTGGATTCCCCAACAACCCATTCCCAAAGGCAACAGAGATCACGAAACCTCCAGGGTCCTTCTCTTTTTTCGGCAAGTTATGTTAGAAGACACTTGCCGCTTCACACACGAGCACTTCTTTACTGCACTCAAGCTTCTGCTTATTTGATGCCACTTCCTTGAAAAATCTTGCGTATGCCGGTATTTTTCTAATCACGTCGGGAGAAGATAGGTCCACATTGGCCTTAGCCAACATTGCATGCAGGTCTTGAATCATCTTTTGGTCCTTCTCCTCCAAAAGCCAACTAGGAAAAGGAATCCTCAGCCTCCATGGGTTAGGGGGCTTGTGCAAAGTTGGTTTGATAGTCGGTGTACTCGAGGCCTCCACTTTTTGCTCCTTAACCACTGTCTTCTCTTCTTGCTCGGGCATAAGCACTGTAACTGAATTTGCATGCTCGGGCTGACTCGGCAACTTTCCCTTGTTCCATTCAATCTTGATGGTCCCGACCCGTGTGGCCAACTGTCCCACTTGCATCTCGAGGCGCTTAATGGAAGCCTCGTTGTTCATGGTTCGTTGCTGGTTGTCAGCAAAAAACTGGAGGATCTTATCCAGCTTCTCATTTAAGTTTGACGGGCTCGGTCCGGTTTCTGGCGCTGGCAACCGTAACATTTGTCCCCTTGCTTGTTGCTGCTGAGGGACAAAATTGGTTTGAGGTGGTTGCTGATAGTGGTTATTAGACCAAGAGAAGCTTGGGTGGTTCCTCCACCTGGCATTGTATGTGTTCGAGTATGGGTCATTTCCTGGCCAGTTCTGATATCCTTGCACTGTATTTACCTCAGCACCTTGCCCTCATAGTTTCGCTCGACAGCCATAGGGCACACTTCCGAACTGTGTTCTTGCACTCCACATGCGCCGCAAACACTCACGGCCATAGTCTGATTCGGCGAGGAACTTCTAGCATTCAGTAGCCGCATCTGCTCCGTGAGCTCGGCTAACTGCTGGGCCATGACATTGTTTCCCGGTCCGATCTCATTCACTGTGGTCCTCTTCCCTCAGACGCTCTTCTGAGACGAGTTAGCACTCATCATCTCATATATCACCATCATCTCCTCCGCCGTTCTCGCCCCGATGTCACCTCCGGCCGCATTATCCACCATGTACTGCAGGTTCTGGTGGAGGGAGACGTAGAAGCAATTCGCTAATAGCCCTGTAGCGAGGTTGTGGTGGGGGCACTGCCTCTGGAGGTCTTTGAAACGTTCCCAAGCCTCGTGAAGAGGCTCGTTTGGCAGTTGAGCAAAAGAGACTATCTGGGACTGGATGTCTTGGGTTTTCTGATGGGAATAATACTTCCCGACAAATTTCGAGTAGACTTCGGCCCAAGTTGTTAGAGAATCCAGGGTGAGGGTCATGAACTAAGCCTTGGCCCGGTCTTTCAGAGTCTTTGGGAAACACCGCATTTTGAGTTGGTCCTCGTTCAGCCCGTGTAGAGGGAACGTCTGGAGGACGTTGTAAAAATCTCGAAGAAAGTGGAGAGGGTCTTCGTTGGGGAGCCCGTGGAATGATGGGAGCTGATTGTAGTGGATCATCTTAAGCTCGTAGTTCCGAGCTTCTTGTGGCAACTGGATGCATGAAGTGATTGGCCCGATCATGGGTTGGGCCAGGTCTCGGAGGAGATCACGGGGAGGTTGTTGAGCCATCTCTGGTTTGGTGGTTTCGGATGACTCGATGCTGAGTTTGTCGAACAGCTCACTCAAGTTCTCAGGATTGGTTTTATCGTTCAGTGCTAGTACACGTCCACTCCTGCTACGCATACACTCAAATGACAAATGGGTTATGAGCACCAACGGTAATTAAGAGGAAATAAAACAAAGAGAAACACAGAAAAAGAAAAACACAAAAACTAAGAGAAATACGGAAAACAAAGTGAATAAGCGCACAATATACGTCCTAAACCTTCCCCGGCAACGACGC